AGTTGCTGACTCCAATAGCCCTGGCCTTGCCAGAGTCAAAGAGTGCCTCCATTGCTTTCCATGTACTGGGTATATTAGGTTCGGTAAGGTTTTGAGGATCAGAGCCAACTGACCCCTTTTTCATGCTCACTGGCCAGTGGATCTACCAAGATTTTTATGACATTCAATAACAAATAAGCAATTGCAATATTACTTTATGCATACATCAGAACAAAATAAATGTGCTAGTGAGACTCCAAAAGTTGATGTCTCTTCAAAAATTTGTTTTGATTAGTCAGTCCAAGGCATGTGATTAATTAATTTCATTTTACCTCCAATAAAGATTAAGCGCACTCAAACATACATTTCTAGGTGAAATCTTCAAGGTACATTTACTAAAGGGTAAATCTTAAACTTGTGAACTTACAAGATAGAGATCCAGATAGTCGAGCTGCAAGTCTTCCAAAGTTTTATCAAATGCCTTTGGCACATCATCTGGTTCATGATCAGTACACCTGCAGATAATTTTGATTTCAACTTAGCATTTGATGGTAAAGTTGGAATTTTGAGATGATAAATTGAAGACTACAAAACTTAAGCAGAGTTCCAAACAATAATTCTGATTTCAACTTAGCATTTGATGGTAAAGTTGGAATTTTGAGATGATAAATTGAAGACTACAAAACTTAAGCAGAGTTTCAAACAAACCAGAGTTTGGAGGTGATCCATAAGTCCTCACGCTTCACAGCCCCATCGCTAAACAGCTTCTTCATAGCAAAACCAATCTACATACATAAACCAGAAACTGCTCTCACGTCTCAAACCAACAGTTTCCAGCATAAATTAGCGCATAAATGTCAAGAAGTAATTTTAATCGGAAACCCCAAAAAAAAATTACATATATGAATTCTTGAATTCTTATCTTACCTCCTTCTCATTGCCATACATTTGAGCACAATCGATTTGGCGATATCCAACCTGCACACAAAAACACAGACACAACGGGAACGACTCAAATTAAGCTCAGCATTTCATGAACCAGGCTTAAACTACCTACAAAAAAACTATTAAATACGCATAATTATACATATAATCCTGATTAATAATTAAAATTGATGGATCAAAACGGAGAAAACAGTAACCTTAATGGCAGCGGAGAGGACGTCTCCGATGAGATGAGTATCGGCGCGATATGTGCCTAACCCAACGGAAGGCATCTTGGCTCCGGTGTTCAGCTCGAAAAACCGAATTGCGTCCGCCATTTTTCTCTCACTCTGGCTCTGCTTGCTGCGATTTTGGAATTGCTACTTGTGCAAGCTGACCTGAGCTGCTTTTCAGTTGAGCACGAAAGGCGAAAGTGGGGATCGTTTGGCTTAAATTAATCGCGGGTGGAGATAGTTTCCAATCCGGGTTTTCTTTCTTAAGATAGCAATTCAGCTGTTTTTCTCAAACGCAGACACACTTTTTTCTTTTCATTCCTCAGCAAATTATTTTTATAGAGAAAGAAAGAAAATATAACTTCATATAGAGGAGGACGAAGAAGCACACGTGCTTTCCCTCTTGCCTTTTGTATTATTATTTTGGGTTAGTGAATAATAAGTACTTTATTTTTTTCAATGATGCTCCACAAATTCTCCTTTCGAAATTTATAAGTTAGTTTCATTTTGCATTTAAAGGATGTCAAGTAACCAAGGTTGGTTGGTGTGAGTGGTTCGGCACTCTTATTCCTTAAGAGAGGTCAGGGGTTCGATCCTTGCTCTCGTACGGAGTCACCACTTTGGCCAACACTTTACCCCTTACGGGCCGACCCGGTGTGAGTGGGGATTAGTCTGGGTTGTGGTTAAGGCTTAAAGGTGCCACCCATAGTTGGGGCCCATCCAGGACCACCTCATGGTTTAGACCAAAAAAAAAAAGGATGTCAAGTAGATTTTGGTCATCTTTGTTAGTTTGGGACATTTGTTCACTATTACGTGCGGATGTGTTTAAATGTTGCGTTTTTGACTTGTTAGTTTTGTTGCCTATTTGAGTTTGGGTTTATTACGACATGTAGAGACGTATTGAATGTATTTTTGAAATTTATCAAATGAAATTTGCTATTTGAATAGATGTACTACACTTAACTCTGGTCTAGTAAGTGCATCAAAGCAAAAGGCAGATTAAGCGGACGGACAAAGAAAAATCTCCATCAAGATTCATAATTTCATGACAGAGAGTCCAATACGCTGAAGCAGCACAGGATTTTGTATGTCATTAAAGCTGAATGTATCTTTAAAAGTTAAACAAAAAAAACAAAGGTCAACAGAAGTGCCACAACTTCTGAATCCACCATTCTTCATGAAGCTAATGAAAATCAAGCTACAACCAAATATGTCATTAAAGCTGAATGTATCTTTAAAAGTTAAAAAAAAACAAAAAACAAAGGTCAACAGAAGTGCCACAACTTCTGAATCCACCATTCTTCATGAAGCTAATGAAAATCAAGCTACAACCAAACATACAAGCTAAAGAAAGGCATATAGAAAAGCCAAATGTTTCTAACATCAGCTCATCCAGGTTATGCTCACAATTCGCCGTCCCAAAGTTCCTCGATGGTCTTGTAACCTTTGGAAGTCTCGTGGACGAATCCAGTACCTTTAAGCAGCCTCTCCTGCAAACAAAAACAGAATTCTTTAGCAAAGTCAAATCACCACCAGACAACAGATGAATGGAATTCAGGAACAGAAAAACATTTATAACAAAGAAGAAATAAGAAGAAAAAAGAGTTACTTGCCTGCTTTGCTTCAGCAAACTTTGCAAGCAAATCTTCAGGTATAGACCAATCAAAAACATCAAAGTTCTCCTTGATTCTTGCCTCCTTTGTGCTCTTAGGCAGTACACTGTGACCCGACTGGAGCCCCCACCGGATAGCCACTTGTGCAGGAGTCTTGCCCAGCTTCTCTGCCACCGATGTAAGAATTGGATTCTTAAGCACATCACCCTTAATGCTGCTTGTGCCTGGGGATCCCAATGGTGAATACCCCTGAAACAAGAAACACATTCCAATATTATACCAGTAATCTGCAGTTGGTGCTTTTGGTAAATCAGAAGAAGAATATTTTACTTCATATAAGCATACTCACAGTTAAGTGAACTCCCTTGGATTTGCAGAATTCTTTTAGCTTTGGCTGCTGCCATTGAGGGTGCAATTCCACTTGATTAACAGCCGGAGGTACTCGTGCCACTGTTAATAGGTCTCCAAGCTTCTTTGTAGAAAAATTGCTAACCCCTATGGCCCTGGCCTTGCGAGAATCATAAAGTGCCTCCATTGCTTTCCAAGTACTGGCTATGTCAGGTTGGGCAAGGTTTTCAGGCTTAAAGCCAGTTGAACCCTTCTTCATCTTGACAGGCCAATGGATCTTCACAAAATTTACAAACATTCAGCGGCAAATAAACAATGATTTGTATAACTTCATAAAGCTAGTGAAACTTGCTTGCAAGGTTGCCGTTTCATATTTCCAGATATAAACAAAGTCCAAAGTACAAAGACACATTATGAAAACTAAAGCATAAATCTGAAAAAGTGACTTCATTATTTTTCTTTTTGGACATATCATTACAGTTTTGCTTAAGAATATGTTATTTTCTCATCAAGTTTGACATGTTAAGTTGTCAAAATAAACAATTAATCGGTTGAATTCTTATTTGAATGCGTGGTCTAAATTCGTAGCAACAACAGATTACCCTTTTTATGTGTCTCTAGATATTAATAAACAAACAGTAATTGAGTGTGGTTTGGTTTACGTACTAGATAGAGATCGAGATAGTCGAGTTGTAAGTCTTGCAGGGTACTATCTAGTGCTTTTGGCACATCTTCTGGTTCATGATTATTACACCTGCACAGTGCACATAAGGGTAATTTCAAATTCAACCTTTTCAAATTTTCAATTAGATATAGAAAAGAATCAAGAGAGTTATACTGAAAACAAACCAGAGTTTTGAAGTGATCCATAGGTCCTCACGCTTCACCACACCATCATCATAAAGCTTCTTCAAAGCAAACCCAATCTATAAAATCCAGCAAATCGGTCACTGTTACATTGTAACACATAAATCATAAAATTTGATATAATTTACAAATTAAAAAAATATATCTAAAACAAATAAATTAAGCAGAGAAATGGCAAAAAAATCAATGAATAAGAGTTGAATTTGAAATTAAATACCTCCTTTTCGTTGCCATAAGCTTGAGCACAATCAATATGCCGGTACCCGACCTGCATTTCGCACAGATGAACAGTTGAACGACTTATCAAAATCAAACTTGACATTTTTGTAATTGCATTTCCAATTAAAACAAGAAACAAGAGAGACCTTAATGGCGGTGATGACGGCGGCGGCAACGACGCCGGGCTCAGCCTGCCACGTGCCCAAACCGAGGGACGGGATCTTGGCCCCAGTGTTCAACTCAAAGCACCGAATCGCTTTCGCCATTTTTGTTTTTTGAAAAATTCACACTTTGCTGCGACTTGCGTGTGTAAACTGTCGAGCAAGTTAATTGGGTCAGTTATTATAAAGCGGGACCAAAACGTATTGGGAAATGGAAAGCCAAAGGATCACGTCATTACACGTTGCATAAGAATAAAAAGAAAGCCCATTAAAAGATTGATTTTGGAGTTGCTAAAAAGGGCAAAAGTGGAAGAGAATTTTTGAAATGGGGCCGGCCATGAACGAGGATGTCATGGAGTATGCAATTGGGCTGTATTGTGTTTGTAGTTGGTGTGAACTGTTGGATCGTAGTGCTCCGAATTATAGGTTCTACTCCAAGTGAGCGCGACAAAGAAGAAAGATCCAATGGAAACCCCGATTCTCTGTGTTCTCAGTTTCGTTGTCATTGTCGTGTGTCTGCGATTATTTTGATCAAAATTCGTTGCTAATTTTGTTTCTCTCTTTGTTTTAGATCAAACGTCACTGTCTAAGTCTTCCCTTTGAATTGTATTTTTTATTAGGTACTAATCCTTTGATGAAGTGCGTGGTGAGTGAGCAGAATTTCTATGGTATTATATATGATTAGGGTCACCGGCATAGACCTCGAAAATTTTTTGTGGGTAATTTAAACTGCATAGAACTTTTGTTTTTGGCTAACTTTATGCCAATCATTGATAGCTAAAGTTTGTAAACTCTGGAAGAAATAGTTTGTACATATGCTTCAAAGGCTACCTGTGATGAATTCTTTTGTATTTTGGAGCATGTGGTTTGTATGAGAATGACTTGATGAAATTTCTGAAAATGGAATATATATTAATATGTTTGAAAGTGTATGAGAATTGAAATAGTCCATTAAATGCAAATGAAACAACCCAAAAAAAAAACGTGAACTCACGGATATCATTACAAAATACAAAGAAAAACATGATGGTAACGCATTAAAACGTATTGTTTGAAATGTGAAGCAATTACCAAGAACACTCTAACTCAGCATGCAATTCTCTACAATAAATAATGTGTGCAGTAACAAAATTTAGTAGCACTCGAGAGAACAAGGTAGACCAAAGGAAAATATTTCCACACAAAAAGAAGAAGACAAAATTGAACTCTCAAATTGATTTACGATGAAATTTCTCTCTCTTCAATATCTGCTCTGGAGATGTCGAAATGAGCAAATTAATATCTATAAAGTATTAACTAATGCAACTAGAAGGGATATTTTTTCCAATAAATATTTCCACACAGGTTGCTATACTATTTTTTTAATAATAAAAAAATGTAGTATAGTCACACAGCTATACGATTTTTGACATGTGGAGAAGCGGGTGCTTGGAGCCAGGTGGGTCCTTTTTTTTATATAAATAAATAGTATAGCCAAGCGGCTATACTCGGGGTTTAAAAAAAAAACACAAGTATGACCACACGGCTATAATACGGCTTTTATTATAAAAGGAAAATTTGCATAAATACCACCTAAACTTTTGGGCATGTGCGCTAATACCACCTAAACTTTGAATTTTTATTTTTAACCACCTGAACTTTGTAAAGTGTTGCAATCCACCACCTATATATAACTCTGTTAAAATTTCCGTTAAGTTTAATGGCATTTCCATCAACTTACTATGACTAAAAATAATTATAAAAAACAGAATTTGAAAATTAAAAAAATTAACCTAATTGCACCACACCTTCCCTAGCCCTACCCTTTTCCAAAGCCAATTCTCCCCCTCACCCTCATGGGAAATTAAAGATTCAAAACTCATTTTTATCTTTTCATACAAAACTTTAGGGAAAAAAAAAAATTCAGAAACTCATCCGTCATTTGGACCACCTGTGATATATACCATTTATATTATATTTAATTTTAATTTAGGTGCACAGGCATAGCCATAGAATGCTCATTCATGTCTGGGTCGATGAGTGTAATTAGGTTAACTTTTTTTTTTTTTGGAAGCTGCTGTGTAATTAGGTTAACTTTTTTATTTTTTAAATTCATTTTTATTTTTAATTATTTTTAGTTACAGTGAATTGACAAAATTGCCTTTAAATTTAATGGAAGCTTTAACAGAGTTAGACATAAGTGGTGGAT